TTTATGATAAAATGAACCAAAACAGCTCAACATAATTCCTTTGTGAATTCTACTTAAGATATTCTTTAATTATTTTTTATAAACACCTTTAATTTTTTTTTTTGGTTCGTCCCTGGAGTATCCAGGGCCGACAGCAGTAACTAAAGGGTGGGATATTTAACGCGGCTGCATACACAAGGCATGATTCGAACTCCTGACCTTGCTTAAGCATGGATCAACTCCTACCGCTGAACCACACGCTTGGAGTTATGTTACACCCTTAATTGCTAAGGAAATAAAGATAATATATATATATATAGAAAAATTACTATCCTCTTTCACATGATAATAAGAATGGAGCAGAATAGTCACCCACTCTTTTATTTATTTTTTTATTTTACTTGAATTTGTATTTAACAAATAAGAAAAATTAGTAAGAGAACATTATAAAAATGATTAAAACTTTTTCTTTAATGATAATATGCCTATCACTAGCTATTATTAGTCTCTTTATAAAAAAAAAACGTATCCTATTTTATTTGTGTTCTTTAAAAAGTAAGGAATTATTAACTTCTATTTTACTTTTAACATGTATAATAAGCTAAGCATTCTAAATTAATTCATTTATTTTTTATTCATAATTGAGATTATTTTAATGGTTTTCATAACTTTCGTATAATTGGTTATTTGTTTTTTTTTTTTGGACAATATAATTGGTTATTTGTTGAAACCTATATTAAATGGCTACGTCAAACATGGATGGTTCAAAACCAAAATGGCATAGAAGAAGCCAACAAGGTCAAATTCGAAGTGCTGATATTTCCATCGTCTCAGAGTCAAAATTGTTTTAATTTTTTTTACATAGATAAAATAAATTAATAAAAGTAAAAAAAAAATCATCTTATAAAAATAACTGTATATAATTTAAAAAAATGATCGACATATTTTTTAAAATATATTATTAGAAGTATAAATCACAAAATAATTAATAATACTATATAAAAAATTCAAATTATACTTATTTTAACACATTATTTTTATACAACACGGAACTTTTATACTCTTTTTATTTTATGTAATAGAAAAACTATACTATAAATATTTGGTCATTCTTATAAATAAATAAAAAATGAGTAAACAATGGTGCAAAGATAGTGCATTACAATCCTCTACGCTTTAAATTTGATAAAAAAAATGACTTCGATAGAAATTGACCAAAAAAAAAAAGTTAATACACCGAAATATTAAAAGAGATTGATTTTTAAGAAAGTTAATAAATACTTCTTTTAATATAATTAATAATTATATATAAATAAATATTAAAAGATTAGATATAATTATTCATACCACTAAAAATAAAACTAAATATAATTATATATCTCAATAATTCCTTTATAATAGGTAATAGATAATACTAAAAAGAAAAAATAACGATAGTTGATGAGCAATGATCCAGTGCGGCCATCCCCAAACACATCCCCTCCCTGATTGGTTGACTCGCCATCGTGGTCAGGAGTTACGGCGGTGGATACGGAACGCGTGGATCACCGTCTAAACAGAGTTTTTTTATATTTTTTTTCTTTAATTTTTGGTACATGTTGGAACGAAAATTTGAAGGCATGTTAGTAGAATACGCGTAAGCAAGTGGGTCCCACTTTATTACGTCACTGTGTGGGCCCGATTATTGCATTGTTCGAGAGGTTGACCTTTCCCATTATTTTTTCAATATTATTATTATTATTAGTGTATTATTTTTATAGAAAAGCGGACAGATATTTGGTCAAAGCGTTGAAAGAAAGTGATTTATGTGCCACCGGCGGGTTCATGAAACGACAAAGATATCTAAACGTTGCGAACCAGCTCGCACCGTTGCCAACTAATATTCATATTTCATTTCAAAACGTACTTAATAGTTTTGATTTATGCAACACTTCAAACTCGATAACACTCCTAAAACGTGATTTCTACTTAAAACATTTTAAATAAGTTTAAAATACTATTATTTTTTTGTTTGTTTTACAGACCACTGTCATATAGTGAGATAATAAATATATGGTATCTATATTATTAAGAAAGAGATTTTTTTAATACAAATTTTGAATTATTTTGTTTTTATAATTATCAAGACTTAATAATTAATTTAATTAAATTAATATAAATAATTAATTTAATTGATAACAATAAATTTATTTTATTTATATTTTTAAAAAATTATTCTCATACTACTTCTCTTTTTAATTAATACTCATTTTTTTAATCAATTAAAAATACATATCTTATAATATTTCTCTCTTCTAATTAATACTTTTCTTTCTATTAATCAATTAAAATATATATTCTTTAAAAAAATTATAATTAATGCATCATACTAAATTAAGATAATATACTTTAGTTTAAGATATTTCAATCTATAAATAATTAATATATGAGATAATATGATCTGAGTTATATATAAAGAAATAAATAATTCTTCTAAATTGAACTTTATAAGCAAAAATGAATATAGTATTTATTTATTTTCTTTTTTTTTTTCTATTTTAACTGTGTTGAGTTTTCAAATATCTCATCTTTTAAATAAATTTTTATTTTTTTTATTTTTTTTAAATAGAAAGATATGAAGTAACTCTTTTTCATAATTAATATAAATTTAATAAATAATAAAGTTAAAAATCACAACATAAGTGCATATATTATTATTTATTTAAATATATTTTGTTAAGTTAGAAAGACTTTTCAACAATTAAAAATGGTTTAGTGATTGTGTACTATATGTATATAAAATAAAAATGTAGTGCGAAACAATTATGAATCGTATAGCTTCTAAAATATTTATATTATAAAAATTAACAAATTTATTATATATAATGATTTTTTATCGAAAAAAATAGTAAAATTTTACTCTACATAACTTATTATCTCAGTTTAAAACTTGACTTTACAATAAATTAAAATAATCTTCACTTAACTCATTTTGTAAATAATTGTACTTTTATTTGGGTCTATACCTTTCTGATTTGTTTTGAATTTAATGCGTGTTGGATTGTGAATTCTCAATAAATAATCTGACTTGTTTTCATTCTTGCATGTTTATATATATATATTTTTAAAAAAATGTAAAGCGAGATAATAATAAAAAAATCCATTCAATAAATTATAAAATTTAAAAAATGTTACACAATAACTATTGTCACTTTATTTTAAGAAATTGTTTTATTTCAAACGAATTAAATTAAATTTATTAATTATTTATTAATATTTTTAAACTTTTCAACAAAAAAAAACTTCAAGATTCATCTTAGGCATATAAAAATCTTAAATATTTATTAAAGAGATAAAACATTTATTATATTAAAAACATAAAAGTATAATAAATATGTTTTCAGAAAAGTCATTACTGTTTCTTAATGCCTAGATTTAACTTTAATGGTTAGAGTTAACATTTTTTTATCATTAAAGGTTAGAGTTAATAGTTATAGGTAGCTTTTTCTTTCCTTCTTTTTTCTTTTCTTTTTCTTGTGAACTTTTGAAGGTAGTTGGTGTCTCCTTGGTTTAGAGATTAATGTAGTTTAAATTCATTTTGAAATGTAAAAAAAAAAAATATATTTTATACAACACATGTCGTGATTGTTTTAGATCTTTACTGAATAAAGTTAGTTCGACATAAATAAAATTATTTTTCAGATAAATATTAGACTAAATTATATTTTTTAAAAATTTAATTTAGTTTATTATTTTTAAATAGTTCAATTTAGTTATATGATTCTTAAAAAATATTTAATATTATTATTCTATCCAAATTGATATTAATGATGATAATAAAATTCAACGAAAGGATAATATTAAATATTGTTTAAAAATTAAATAACTAAATTGAATCATTTACCATATTTAATTTGACTACATTATTTTTAAGATCTTTAATTTAATTCTTTAATTTAAAAAAAAAAGTTTAATGCTGTCCTTTTATCTAATTTTATTAACATCAATAATGTCAATTTAGATGAAATAATGACATTGAATATTTTTTTAAAAATAACAAAACTAAATTGAATCCTAAAAATAAATATTAACTTAAAATATAATTTAGTATAAATATTATCATTAATCCTAATTATAGATAATAAATTTTAGTTTTTTTTATCTTAATTATAAGTAACAATTATTAGATATTAAATTACTTAAAGTAATTTTTTTTCATACCCTTCACTTATTGTTAAATATATTTTCTATACATTTATTTATAGTTAACATTAAATATAGTAATGGAAAAAAAATTAATCTCACACAGATTAAGAAAGATATTAAATATATTTAATTTTCATAATTTTATACACTATATTTACAAAAATATTCTTAATCAAATTTATCATAACAATGTTCTCATTTGTTACCTATGAGTTATTTTTGGATAAAGAATATTAAATAAAGTTAACTTGATTAAAAATTATTTATATTTAAATTTAAAAGATTAAAGTATTTTTTTACTTATATATATATATAGGTCTAAAGGAAATATATTTATAATAAAATTTAAAATTATGATAAATTAATTAAAAATAACATGAATTATTTTTTATTTTAATGATTTTATCTTATATCAGATATAACTATGACTAATATAATATTTCTTAAGTGGAACTAATGAAATTCACAAATAATATCTTATTTATATTTTAGATGAAATGTGAATTAAATGAAATCAACTTTTTTCAATTTCCAGTTTTAAATATCACACTTAAATACAAATCATGAGTCTTTTCAAAATCCAAAACAAATCTAATAAGCATTGGAAAATACCAAAGGGGCCACTGGGCGGGTACAATTAGGCCTCAGGTGAACACAAGCGCATGTGATTACAGTCACTTTCCCCTGTGTGTAAAATGACAGAAATATCCCTTTCTTCCTTTGTCCTTATTGTGGCTTGTTGGTGACTATGGAACATTTGTTCACAATTAATTTCCACCTCATATTGACCAAGAATATATTAACGCACCGAGAATGCCCAAACACATCAGAAACCCCTCTCTCGCTCTTTCTCTCTCTTTCTCACACAGTTTGTGTGACTTTGTGTCACTCTTTTCTTTTCTATTTTTATTTTCCTTTTTCTCCTTTCTTTTATTATTATTATTATTTTTTTATTTTTTTTATTTTCTTGTGTTTCGTTCCTTCTCCCTGAGGGGGTCTCTGTTCTGGGCTCTGTTTTCTCGGTGGAGCTTAGGCAGAGAAAGAAAAAACATGGGTTGCTTTTGTTGCCTTGGGGCATCGAGGAAACAATTGGTAACCGAAGAAGACTATAGCGACACCCCGAACAACGCGAAACCCTCCAACTTCACTGCCCCAGGTTAAATTTTGAACCTTTTTACTCTAATAATGCATTTCACTATCGCACACAAACACACTCGTATTGTTTTCTGACCCATTTTGTGTGATCATGCTGATTGTTGCGTTTTCTTAGTGATTTGCGTTTTTATGTAAAGATTTCGTGGTGGGTATGTCAAAAACAAATCAAAGTTCGTTTTTTTTTTTTCGGGGTGGGACGTGGGGTCATCGAATGCTTCTGTGTCCGTTTTGAAAGAGGGTGGGGGGGGGGTATGTAAAGATTTCGTGGTGGGTATGTCAAAAACAAATCAAAGTTCGTTTTTTTTTTTTCGGGGTGGGACGTGGGGTCATCGAATGCTTCTGTGTCCGTTTTGAAAGAGTGTTTTCCAGGAATTTTGGTCCGGGCATACGCGTAAGGAAAAAGAAATGGATTTTGTTTTGTTTGGTTTGTTTTCGATATTGTAATTAATTTTGGTATGCGGCTTGTCACGTCTCGTCCGGCGATTTTTGATGCTGTATGCGTTTGAATATGGACGCTCTATTTTTGGTGGCTTGAGATTGAAATTAACCATATTCAATTTCTTTTTTTGTTTTGGTTGGCTGTGATGTTGGAATTGTTGGATCCGCGATCGAAGTTGTGTTTGTCATTTTGCGCAGTTGTTTTGGTTCTGTAGTATCCTGGGATTAAAATAATTTTGTCTATGTTACTTTTTATTGATGTGTATCCCCTTTGCCTTGTGTGTGTTTTGTATGTGTTATAGATAGCGTTAAGGTTGATTTCAAAGTGAATGGGAATAAAGAAGATGATTCTAAAGGCGATCAACTTGCTCTGGACGTGAAGAATTTAAATTTGAGAGAGGGGGTTTCTGAGGATGGAAAAGATAATGGCAACCGGGCACAGACATTCAGTTTTAACGAACTTGAAACTGCTACAGGAAACTTTAGGTTGGATTGCTTTTTGGGTGAAGGAGGCTTTGGCAAGGTTTACAAGGGACACCTGGATAGAATAGACCAGGTTTGTTGAATAAAACTAGCAAAATTTGAAATTATTGATGCATTTGAACATGATCCTGCTCTGGTCAATGTGTTGCTCAGTTATGCCCTAATAAGTCTGAATAGTCATGTTAGTTTGCATGTTTATTGTTTCTTTTGAATTGTGGTGAGCCATGAAGCATAGACACATCTGCAGAGCCGCATGTTGGTGTGGCTTACACATTTCAGACACCAACACTACTTTTTGTATATCGACACTTTAGACCGACACTTTTTGGATGCCCACACTTTATGTTGATCCATTTTGGACACCTCTCTTACACAATTTGGACATGAGCCAAAAGATTGAACCAACACCTACTCTTGGCTAAACACACCCTTCCACGGTGTCACAATTAAAAAAATCTGATTTAGACACCTCTCGGACATAATTTGGACACGAGACAAGAGATTGGGCCAATACCTACTCTTGGCAAAGCACTTTTCTTTGACCCTCCTATTAATAAATTTTTTTAAAGAAGAGTCAACTTATAAATATTTCGAGACGCTTAGCATTTTTTTGTGAGACTCATTTTGACATGACTTAACTAGTTGCATTATGTTTTAAGAGATATAATTCATCTTCTTATCTTGGGATTCTTTTCTTGTAAAGATTGCATTGTGAAATGATCTCTCTAAATATTATATATGTGAAGGTCATTATCATATGAAAATTGTAAAGATTAACAACTTTGCTTTTAGGAGGTGAATAAATATAAATTTTAGTTCTCAAATTAGATTTTTTTCAGTTTGATTATATATATATATATATATATATATTAATATTAATATATATATTGGAGATCTGTGACCATGTTGGAGTCGGTGCTTCATAGGTGGTTACTGGTGAGACTAATATTTGATAGTCGCTGTGTAGGTTGTAGCTATAAAGCAACTTGACCCTAATGGACTTCAAGGGATTCGGGAATTTGTTGTTGAAGTGTTGACATTGAGTTTGGCAGACCACCCTAATCTTGTAAAGTTGATTGGATTTTGTGCTGAGGGAGAGCAGAGGCTATTAGTTTATGAGTACATGCCATTAGGATCTCTGGAGAACCATTTGCTTGGTACCTACTATCATTTCTATCATCTTAATTTTTCATATATTGTCTGCAGCATTCTTTATCAATCATCATGGCTCATTTCATCTCTTCTTCCCCATTGTCATAGATCTTCGGCCTGGCGTAAAACCTCTTGATTGGAACACAAGAATGAAAATAGCAGCTGGCGCAGCTAGGGGTTTGGAGTACTTGCATGATAAAATGAAGCCTCCTGTAATATATCGTGACTTGAAATGCTCTAACATTTTGTTAGGAGAGGGATATCATCCTAAGTTGTCTGATTTCGGCTTGGCAAAAGTAGGCCCAAGTGGTGATAAGACCCATGTTTCAACAAGGGTTATGGGCACATATGGGTATTGTGCCCCAGATTATGCAATGACAGGTCAGTTGACATTCAAGTCAGATATTTACAGTTTCGGGGTTGTTCTTTTGGAGCTCATTACAGGCCGGAAAGCTATTGACCATACAAAACCTCCCAAAGAACAAAATCTAGTTGCATGGGTATGTCACATCTCTTTATCTGTTTTATTCTTTACTGTAGAATCCATGATTGCTTATTGATTTAATCTTTGTTTTTGTCAAATTGTTGTAGCTTAGAATTTGAATGACTAGTGTAATTAGCTATAAACAAGTGTTGTTACGGTTATGCAAGGATTTGTTTGTATTACCTTCTTCCATATTTCAGTGGCACATTATTTATTATCTTTAGAAGAGCTGTGAATTTCCATTCAGGTTTGCACCTGGTTAAAAGTATCAAAATTGGGATTTATAGGTAGCGTAATGATGCCTCTCAATGGGTAGACATTTTTCTGAAGCTAGCTGATTAATTTGTTTGCTCGTGACTTTTTCCCATTCAATACTTCTATAAGACTCCCATTTGAGATAAGTCAAGAGTCTCATTGTACTGATTTTTTTTTTTTTAAGATATTAGAAAATTGGAAGCTTTAATCATATGTAAAATGATACATTTAAAGTGCTTACTGAATCTCTAGAATAAACAGTTATGAAAAAGTTATTACTACTCCCTCCGTTTTTTATTCATAGTCCTTTTATCAGAATTTGTCGTTTTTTTTTCATTGTCATTTTACTAAAATTAATGACTTATTAATTTTTTTTTCCTCATTTTTATCCTTGATAATTAATGTATGTTTACTGAACAACGTGTCTATTTATTTCTAATGTCTACCTATTTTTCTCCAATCATCAATGTGAAGTTAATGTTGCATTTAAAAGGACAATATGTTTCCAACGAAATACTATAAAAAAATAGAGGGTAGAATAGGAAAATAAGTAATAAATATTTTTGAAAACTAAAATATCAATCATTTTCTTAAGTCCCGTACAAAATCCTAAACGACTATGAATAAAAAACGGAGGGAGTACTATGCATATGATTGCATGCCTTTTTTTTTTACCTTTTTATTTTGGTGAAAAATGGGTGAGCTACCCTCCAAACCTGTCCCCCAATAGTGAGCATGCCTGGTGACTGTACCCATTAATGGAATAGTGAGCATGCATGGTGACCATTGTAAAAACATACTTCACGGACCCAACAAAGGAACAGCTTGAGCAATACCATATTATGCAAAGTAGGACTTAGTGGTAGGAGGTCGAAGTAGTATGCATGAAGTCATAGGTTCAGATCTGAGCACGATCACTACACAAAAAAATATACAACCTAGGTTAACCCCTCAAGCGTTTTGGTCAGGAATCATACCTGAGCTAAGGGGAAATGAATGATCTTGTACCACATTGAGCACTATACTCGGTGGTATGCCTTTCCTTTGATGGTCACTGGAAATAATATACATTCTGATTTTCATGTCCTTGTTTACTTTGAGTGGGGTATTTAATACAAAAAGAATTTGGCTTATTTGCTTATCTTGTGTTCTTACTATACTGAAACTATAGGTAATTGCAAAGCTCAAATTTGGTCAAAATTAGAATAGCTATTGCCTTTTACTGTTTGATAATGTCTTTCCAGAGTAGTTACATAAGAATCTTAGTTAATCTCTGAAACATAATCGTCCTTAAATCTGTATCTTTCCTTTAAGGTGAACATATGACATTCTTTTTTGTTGAGTACATTAAGAATAAATGTGTCAGTTATTGTCAATTTATTGTCTACTTAATAAATTACCTGAATTAGCCAAATTCATTTCACTTCCACAATTATTAACTCATGCTACGTGTGAATTGTTTGCAGGCAAGACCCTTGTTCAGAGACAGGAAAAAATTTTCCCAAATGGTTGATCCATTACTTGAAGGGCAATATCCCATGAGAGGCTTATACCAAGCTCTGGCCATTGCTGCTATGTGTGTTCAAGAGCAACCTAATATGCGACCTGTTATAGTTGATGTGGTCACAGCTCTAAATTACCTTGCTTCTCAGAAGTATGATCCCCTAAATCATTCAGCTCAAAGCTCTAGAAGAGGTTCACCTTCTCAGATATTGCAAAGGGATGATGAGAATAAGGGGCATATTTTAAGCATGGAGCATGTGACAACAGACAGGTCTTAAAATTAGGAAAATAGATTGTTTTTGGCTTTTCATATGAAAATGGTACCTAGTTGCCAAATTTTGTTTCATAGGGAAGATAACAGGTGCCTAATCAAATGTAAGTCTGTCACAAGGAAATTTTTCTTCTAGTACCCTCAATGTACATGCCAGCTGCCTTTAATGTATTTAAGATGCCTTTTCTGTAGGAGGAAAATTTCATTGTTTTGTGTTTTGCCATTTCATGGAATTTAGCCTCAGATTTATAACAAATGTCCAATTTCGAATTGATCTATAGTCAAGTTCATTGGTCACCATCTAGGATTGCATCCTAAATGTTTGCACTGAATGGTTTATATGAGTGGTCCACATCAGTTCTTTACGTGGCAAATCTGATGTTGATAGCTTGCCATGATTGAAAGAAACATGAGCTTGGATTTTTGAAGTGAGGGCAAAAAAATAGGATAATGACTGTGAAGTCTGTGATTTGGATTGGACAAGAGAATGGAAATATCTTGGATTTTTACATAACTAATTAGCCTAGGAGTTTAACTTCTAACATGAAAATAACTACTACTTTGTAATCCTATGGATTTATTTAAAGCTATGCTTGATAATTGAGCATGCTAGTCAAAGTGAGGACGGCTTGCAATGAGAGTAATTGTTCAATTCCCCGGTTCGAGTTCCAAGAAAATTGATTGAATTATATTTTATAATAAAGTAAACCTAAAAGTTTTGCAAGTGTGATAATAATTGATTTAAAATATAATTATTATTATTCTCTGAATATATCTTTGATACAAATAAGATTATTAAAGATATTGCTTTAAGATATTATCATTAGATGCTTAATTTTCCTATCATTAATAAGCTCCATAAAAATGTTCCAAGTGTCTCATTATAAACATGTTTTAAAAAAATTGAAACGTCATTTGGTATGGTCTACTTTTAAAATAAGTTTGTCTAAAAGTACTTTTAAAAGAATAACATAAAAATTAATAAACATATCTAAAAGCTAAAATTAGCTTTACATATAAGTTAAATTGTACCATCTCTCGTATTAGTTTTTTTCAGAATACTTTTTTAATATATAAAGAACTTATTTTAGTTTTTTTTTCTATAAGTGTTCATAAAGAAATTTATTCAAACATACTATAATTATATTTAAAGTCACTTTTTAACTTAACAAATTGATTTTATTATGTAACCTTTGTTTATAATTTTCCCAGGTACTATTTTTAAATCTTAAATGTCATACTTATTAAGGAAATGTATTTTTAGTTAATCATTTTCTTTAATTGTATAAATACTAAGTATATACTGATGTGGAGATAGTTGTAACTAACTAATGCAAAAAAATTAGTAAGGAGGTACAATATAAATAGATGTGAGCACTTTTGTATCAAGATTTTGTCTTTGATATTATGTGAGAGAGATTTTTACATTTTTTTTTTCATATGTTACGCGTAACTTATATAAAAAAAAATACTAAATTAGAACTTTCATTGTTTCTTCTCTTTCAAAAAATTATACAATTAACATAACTTTTTAAACATATTCTAATTAAAAATTTAAACAAATAACTTATTAATCATTTCAATATTGTACTTATCACGTTACATATTTGAATTGTATTTTTTTAATATTATTATTAGAGAAAAATTAGTACTTCACACCTCTATATGTTTAGAGCAAATAAAATAGAGATAATAGAAATTATGTAATAGCAAGTGAACTGTAATTAAAGGTGGATGATTTAGAGAAGTTATAAAAATACAATAATCTCAAAAAAAGTAAAAACAAAAGAAATTACACAAATTAATACCTCGTATAGATTTTAGTAGTGTGTTAACAATTTAAAAAAACTAACCTCATTGCTATAAAAGTTCAAACATCTCTTCTGGAAGAGAGAATTGAGGAGTTTGAGCACAAGGCACGTGCGTGGCACGTGTAAACACTTTCCCGCCAAAAATTTGTTACGACCCTAACGAACCAAACCAGGACATGCTTCCACCACCGAATCACAGTGCAGAGTTTCCTCTGAATCACTCTATCTTCCATTCCTTCTTCTTCTTATTCTTCTTCTTATTTCTCTGAACCAAAATGCAGCAGCGATCTTCAGGTTCAAGCTCGCGCGGTCCCGGCGACGAGCACAGAGCCATCAACGTCGGTGCGGACCAGCTGCAACACACGAAGCGGAGAAGGAGCTTCGACGACGACTCGCGCGACGGCCTTCCGATTTACCACCGGAGCGCCACCGCAAGGAGGGACACTTCCCGGTCGCGCTCGCCGGCGGCGGAGAAATGCATTCACGTAATCCCTGTCATTGTGGTGCTCTGCTTCTTCACTCTCTGGTGGTTCTCTTTTCCAGGTACGCGCCGTTTTCACTTTTCCCCTGCGTAACTTTACTTTCTCGTTAATCTCGTGCTATTTCTTAGAGAAAATAGATTCAGATTTTCCGCCGAACGCGAGGTTTACGACGCATTACGATATTAACAGTTGAGAAGCGTTCGTTAGGATTAGGATTAATTAGGAATTGACGAATTGCATTGTATTGCTTTCAATTTGTCGATTCAAAATCTTTTGAAAACAGTGGATGTGGAGGTTAAGGACGGTAGGATTACAGCGATACGACAGATTCGTGCACCACTTCCTAACGATACTCGAATTGATCTTACCGTACTAGCAGTTGCTGCGTCATCGCCGATTCCTGCGAATCCTCAAAATCTCTCAGGTGATGACGAAAACTATTTGCAACCTGTGAGTTCGCCTAATTGAATGAACATTTTTCTTCTTGTGTGAGAATAAAATGGAAGAGGCTGAAGGATTGAAGAAATTTTAGGTCATTACGCGACGTAGAATAGAACTATAATCTGAATCTGTGATTTAGGATCTCCTTCGTTAGAAGAATAACGAACTTTGAAATGTTGGTACCACACTTTGTTATGCTTTTTCTAACATACAAATTCACGTGGGATTCAAATGTCTCATGAATTTCATTCAATAGTAAGATTGTGTTGTCGGTTTATATTCCTGTGGTGAATTTCATACATACAATGCATTCCTAGACGGATAAGGATTGGCTTATATGTTTAGTTGAGTTTGTATAGGAAGGGGAGGGTAGTAGAAGATGACAACTGTAGCTTGTGATATTGTGATCAATCACAGTGGTTTCTGTTGCAACAACAGCCAAGAAATTAAATTGGAATTTGGAAGCTGAATTCTCACCTTTCCCCAAAAATCTGCTTACCACTCATATGTAGTTGAGCTCTTGTGTGATGATCGAACTCTACAACAATCCCTCCTTGTTGACTGCGAAAACAAGTTCATGATTCGGTAAGTAGAAAGGTAATAGTAAAATATACTTTTTAAGAGGAAGAATGAAAAGAAATAAAACATGTGGATATGTAAATGTTAAGCATATATCAATCACTTTTGGTAAGAGGGTAAATTAAGTTTGATAAATTTGTTATTCAATTAGATTAAAAGATTGAGTTTGTGTAATTTTTTTTTTTAAATTCAAATCAAACTAATCTAATTATGAATGTATTGAATTGACTTAGAATAATCGAGTATGAGTATTTAAAATTGTTCTAAATTTTATGAAATTTTTTTTCTTTCTAAAAGCTAATTAATTTTTATATACATAAATTATATTGGTATTGACTTAAGATATTTTTTCAAACACATTAAATAAGTTATACATTAAACAATTTAAATAGTATGAATAACATTTTTGAGAAGAACAAAAAATTTATTAAATGAAGTTTGTGTATGTCATTTAAACCAATGTATATGCATGTTTGGCTTACTCTCAAACTCAAAAGGCTCTACAAAATACAAAAAAAAAAGTTGTTGATCTGAATACTATTAAATTCAATTCAGGTCTCAGATTTAAGTATTGTATATAAAAAAAACATAATTGGGAGAGGAGATTTTAATAAAAATGGCCAATTAGATCTTTTTGATTGAGATTAGTCAATGATAAAACTGGCGGATACTTTGTATCAATAATAGTTTAAAAAATTCTTAAAATAAAGTGATTTTTTTTGAATCTTGTACCACTATTTTTAATAATTCACTTAATAATTCATATTTTACGTTAAATTTTAATGACCTAATTGTCAAATTAAAAGTTCTTAATACATAAATCAAGTTTATAAATTTTTGAAAATTATGAAAATTATTTAATACTTTATTTTATTAATTTAAATTAATGAATAATTATAAAAAAAAATATATGTTAATTTAAATCTATATAATAATGTATCATATAATTTTTAAATTTTTTAAAAATACATAAATTTTATCTATATATTAAAATAAATTAATTAGCATTTAGATCATTAAAATTTGATATTAAAATTTAATGTAAAATATAAATTATTAAATAAACTAAATCTTGCTAAGAAGTAAGTGGATCTCATTTATATATATATACCACCGGAGCGCCAC